GAGTTATCAAGCCACCAGGTCCAGGACTCCAATGGCAGAGGTCAGCTATGTGGGAATCCAACACCTCAACCACTACACCACCTGCTGGCCCGTCAGGACAGAATAGTTCTTTTGGTGTTACCATTTGTTTAAGGAACAGCTCTCTGAGTTACTTACACTGTAGAAAAAAAAAAAAAATCAAGTTTTTTCAGAAGGGTAACATAATCCTGATATCAAATCAGAAAAAAGGCATCATGCAAAAGAAAACAGTATTTCCCAACAAGTACATCTTGGAACATTGGTGTTCTATGGATGGGTCGTATGTGTACTGTGATCTTGATTTCCTAAAGCTTCAAGGCAGTCAGGAAGCCTGGTGCCTGTGCCCTGAGTAATCTGGTCTGCATACCCCAGTGTGCCATGATGTGAAAAAGGTAAGAAGGCACTTCTATAGGCACTTGTTAGTATAGAATGTTATGTTCTAAATAAAACTATGACACACTAAAACACCATCAAGTCAGTTTTATTCCAGGAATGCAAGAATAATTGAACATTAGGTAATTAACAACATTTATAAATTAAGGAGAATAACCATATTATTGCCTTGATGTCATCTTGGCAGGTGGTAGGACTTTTTGGCAACATTTTACATCCATTCCTTATAAAAGTATAAGTCAATCAAGAATAGAAATGCATTTACCTGACTTGAAAAAGGGCCCCTATCATAAACAATGGCAATTATCATAATTTGGAATGAAGTAAGCATTTTATTAAAGTCAAAAGTAAGAGAAGAGTCCTCGCTCTTTATTAATAATCAAAAAATCAGAATTGCCCTGGAAGTCTTGAATATACCAGAAGACTATCAATATACCAAAAGAAAAAACTTAGTTATAATCATTACCAAGGAAATGACAAATGTTTCATTATTTACAAGTGACATGATTGTGTACCAAAGAATTCAGGATAATTCACTGAAAATAAAAACCACTGTTAAAGCCAAAAACGGTTTAATATAATGCTGGGATACAAGATAAATATTTAAAATAAAATGTTTTTTGTACACTATTGATAAGGAATTTTTAAAATGCAGTATCATTCACATAAGAACAATAAAACTACAACAAAGAATTAACCTAACAATTGGTTAAAATCTAAATGGAGACAATAATAAAATTAAATAAATCGAGATAGACACCATGTTCTCAGACACAAAAGTCACTATTATATAGATGTTAATTTGTGGCATACTATTCAAAGAGTCTGAGGCACTTCTCAGGGATTAATTTTCTATGGGAGTTGATTAACTGATTCTAAAATTAACATGGAGGTAGAGAATACACAAGAATAGCCAAGAAAATGGTGAAAAAATAGATAGTGAAGAAGTCCTACCATATTTCAAAACATAATGCTACAGTAATTAAAGCAGTGAGGTATTAGTACAGTAATAGACAAATATTATTGATTGAACAGGAAAGAAACTAAAACATATACATACAGTTTATGATAAAAAGAGAATTCCAAATCAGTATGGAAATAGTTCAACTGAATCAATAATTTGGGAAAACAGGCTATGTCTCAAAAGGATGCTTTTTATGGCATTATCTATAATAGCAACAGACTTAGCAACCTTAAGATCTATCATGTAAGAAGAATTGAATATAATAGATAGTACATCCTATTATGGAATTCCCTATAGCTGTTTTTAAAAATGACTTTCTATTAAGCAGAAAACAAAACACGCTGCAGATTAATCTCTATAGGATGATTTCATTGGTAAAACACACCAGACACATGCTTATGAACAAAAAAAGTACTGTGCAGACACAAAGCAAACAAATCACCATGACTATCTCTGGACAGTGAGGTTCAGAGAGGGTTATTTTCACTTTTTACTTCACGTACTACTGCTTTTTTCACTTTTTACAATAAGCATGTATTCCTTTTCCAACAAATCATGTAGGTTCACTCCATACCATTTCAGTTTAAAGAGACATATAAGGGAACAGGAAAAAGTTATTTGAAATCTTGCTGTACAGAAATAATCATCATATACATGTCAGCACTTTTCTTTTTAGCCCATGTTAGGCATTTTAAACATATTTTAAATCTTACTCTATGTATTATAATTTTTAGCTTATTGTTCAATAAATATGATATTCTGTTTTCCTATATCATTATAAACATACTAGCATATTGTTCAAATTAATATTCCTTAATTTTGGAAATAATATACATCCAAAATAGTAAATTTAAAGGAAAGCCAAGGAGAATAAAAATCACATGTATTCCTATCACCCAGAGATAATTACTTAAAAAAATAATTAAAATCCAGTGAGCAAAATTGGATTGAGGGGTCAACAGGTGGTGTGGTGGCTAAGGCACTGGACTCCCACCTGGCCATCTGCAGTTTGAGTTCTGGACCTGGCAGCTTGCTTTCTCACTTTCTTTCTCTCTCTCTCTTGCTCTGTCCCTCTCTGGTCAAATTATAATGAATAAATAAATAAATAAAGTTAAATAAAATAATTCTTTAAAAATTGGATTAATAATCTTTAGATTGTGCTGACTTTCTCATTGATTTATGCTTGCCATTTTTATTTTTATCTACTACCTTGTTCTTTTATTTAATCATAATAATAATATTGTTATTAATGAATATGACTTTAATTATATAATGGTATCAAACCACCTACCCAATGTACCTGAGTACCAGAATACTTTAATCCATTTTTATGATCTCTCTCTTCTGCTCTGTTTTCCTCAACCTTAATGACATTGATCCTGAATGTCTATTGGTATTCAATAAGTATTTAATCAATTATTTGCATGTCATTTATATGTAATAATAAATAATGCAGTGTTTACTTATGCCTGTTTTTGAATGATATAAGAAGACAATCCCATTATATGCAGTCTTTTGGGGCTTGATATCTTCACATTGTAGAAATTGAATCTACCCATGTCATTCTGAGTAACTGTAGTGTATTTATGTCACTGCTATATAACATGCGATTGTCTACGTGCACCGTGATTTTATCCATTTTTCTCTTGAGACTTGTACAACTAAAACTTTAGTGTGTATCTTCTGGTTATTTTTCTGAGGATATTTACATAACTTCCCTCCTACAAAATATGACTAGTATACATACTTTTATGCTACCTGTTCTCACAGGTGACACCTTGTGAACATATTCCCACTTCATTAATATTTTTCTATGGTATAAGTTTAAAGGACTGCATAGTATTCCATCATGTAGTAAAAATATAATTTATAACCACCCCCAATTATTGGGCATTTGGATTACTTACAAGTTTTGTTGTGTTAAGCATTGTAATGTACATGCCCTTTAGCAGAGCAACTCTCCTTTAAGTATCTATGTGAAGTAATAGCTGAACAAATTTACACACAAATATGTACGAGGGCACCATGTAAGATGACATGGTTTTTGTTTTGCATAAATTGCACAACGTATGTGCTCATGACTTCAGTTTTTATACTACCAAAAAATTGGAAGGAACTTAATGACCACCAATAGGAAATGAAGTAAATTATATATTAACGTTATAACATAGATTCACAATTACTGACACAAACAGTTGCTCACAATTTATTGTTACATGAAAAAAGGTAAAATGGTAGTATGCTTTTATTTTGTAAAAGAAAATATACCTGTAAAAGTGAAAGAACACACACTGACAATTTTACAGTGATTATCTCTGAATATTGAAATTATTTGAGAATTTTTTATCACTTACTTGTATCTTACTTGTATTTTGGAGTACTTTCAATAGTAAAATAAATGATAAATTTTATGCACAATTGTTTAAATACTTTTCCTGAAGAGGAAGTATCTTCACATTGTAAGAACTTTGGCAGTGGGGGGAGGGGATGCAAACAATAATGAAGAAAGCAAAATCCTACCCACCCAGCAATAATTATTTCACAATCTCCAATGTATTGCTTACTTCTAGTCATTTGTCTCTGATTATATATTTTTAAATAGTTGCAATCACATTTTATATAATCATGTATGCTGATTTTTATATTACATTACATAATGAGCATGCCATAAATATTTTAACAGAAAAATATTACATATTATGTAAATAGCATATTTATCTAATCACTTTGTTAAAGTTAGACTCAGGTTTTCCTGTTTTCCACTATACCAAATAATATGAGGAGGATGTTTGTGCATGAGTTACCTACATTTTAGATAACTTCCTTGAATAGATTCCTTGAAGTAAAAACACTAAGTCAAAGAGTATAAACATTTTTATATCTTTTGATACATATTGTGAAATAGTATTTAATATATATTTTAAGATAGTAGAATGGAGTCGTAAAAAAAGAGTTTAAAAAAAAAACTGGAGGGCCCAGCAGGTGGCATGGTGGTTGAGGTGCTGGACTCCCACATGGCTGTGGTTTGAGTCCTGGACCTGGCAGCTTGCTTTCTCACTTTCCCGTTCTCTGTGTGTCTATGTCTCTCTTTGGTTAAATAAAAATAATAATAATAAATAAAATAAAATAATTCTTTAAAAAAACTGGATCCTACGCTCATCATTAATACTCTGATTAATAAAATGGATATAAAAAACACCTGTCTTATCTAAATCACAAGATTATAGCATGGTAACTGAATGAGAAAAATAGACTCTTAAGAGTCACCACAAATGATACTTCCTCAGCAATACTTTCCTTGACCTTCTAGACTCTCACAACATCTTATACTTACTTTTCCTTCATGGTTTTACCATAGTTGAGAAACAATTTTTCAAGTATTTGTATATTGTTTGTATCCTTCCCAGATAACTTTAAGCTCACTGAAATATGCCTGGCACACTGTTAGCGCTCAATAAATATTTTCGAACGAATGAACGAATGAATGAATGAAGTGACAGCATTTTGAAAACTGTAAACCATTAGTCATTCAGAAGATATTACAATTTTTATATAGTATTTTAAGGTATAATTATTATTATTATTATTATTATTATTATTCCTATTTTGTTACCATAAAAATTATTCTAAATCTTTTAAGATTTCTTGCCTAACTACAATTTTTTTATGTGGCTTTCATGTCCCCCAGAGGCACAGGTAGCAACATTGCTGGAAGTGCCTGGTGGGAGATGAGACTGAGAGAACCAAGTAGTTAGTTCTCTAGATCAGTATGCTGGGATTTAAGGAGTTGTAGTTACCATTAGTTGAATACAAAGCAGTGGTCAGGAGCCCAGGAGGTCAGTGATATTTGAAGAAGCAGGTAGATCCTGGAGGTCAGAAACAAACTAATGGTAAGTGTTCTAGACAGTAACGTGCAAACTGGAGAATGGGCAGTGATAAGAGATTAAAAAAGATGAAAGAGTTAAATTCCACATACCAGTATTCAAAGCGTGGAGCCATGAATATGATTCTAAAGCAAAGCATATCTGAATTCAGTACTCACTGAAATGGTATCAGGAAGTGTTTGCACCTACTTCTGCACAGATGAGTAAGGGAATGGTAGTAACTGGCTGAGAAATGAAAGCTGTGAATACAAATAGGTTCTCATAATGACAGAATAAAGTGAGACCATTTGTATACAAGATCTTATAATATTATTCACATACCAGGGGAGGAATCAAGCTTTGAATCCCATAATTCTCATCTTGATTTTCAATAGCAGATATTATAGTACAGTGGCTAGGATCATGGAATCTGGAAACAGGCTAGTTGGGTTCAAATCCCAACTGTATGGTTTAGTTGTGGTGTCCTTTGCACAAGTTACTTAATGTCTGTGTGCCAGTTTCCTCATCTGTAAAATGGGGATAATGATAGTACCTACATCAATGAATTGTTGTGAAGATCAAATGACTTAATGCATGTAAGGACCTTAGAACAGTGCCTGGACGTAGCAAATGCTGTTAAGTGTTATTATTATTATTATTATTATTATTATTATTATTATTATTATTATTATTATTATTATTATTATTATTATTATTATTATTATTATTATTATTATTATTATTATTATTATTATTAATTAGTCACGTAAGACCAAAAAATAGAATTGATGCTATTTAAAAAGAGAAAAATAATACATTGTATGTTAACTTTATCTAAGATTGCATTCTCTAAAAAGGAGGTTTTTTCATTGAAATAAAAATTTCACTTGTACCTAGACACAGCTGATTGTATAAAAACTATAAGCATTAGTAAGGTAGTCAAATTTACTGCAGTAATCCCATCTGTTTATTCTTTAGAAGCTTTTTTTATGAATACTATCTTTAAAAGTTGTAGAAAATAAAAACACATTTTCTAATAGTAAAATACACAATAAAAATGCAATACAATTGGTCCTAAAAAATTAATCTATAGGAAGGGATGCCCTATTGAATGCTTTGAAGCTAATGTTACTAGAGCCAGGAACATTTTGAGTTGGAAGGG